GCTTTAAAGTACGTAACTCAGAATTGAACCAAGGAGCCAGTTTCCTCTGATTGATTACTTTCTTTTTCAGTGGAGCAGTTTTATCAAGTGAAGTTTGCATTGAAGTTGTAAGATGATCAACTAGATGATCTAAGTCTCTGTTCTCTGATGCATTACTCTGCAAGACAGAGGAAACATTGATGGAAGAGATTGATTCAATTTGGTTACAGCATTTTTTGATAAGCACCTGCTGAGATGAAATTTACTCTCAGTGACTGTGTAGTCATTTAATGTAAACTCAAAGTTATTAAAAAATGGTCGGACAGAACAGGATTTTGAGGAACTATTACCAAGTCCTTAATCTCTACACCATAGGTCAGAACTAAATCAAGAGTGTGATGATAAGAATGAGTAGATGTGCGGATGTTTTGGGTAAAACCAAATGACTCTATTAAATTATTAAAGGCTATGCTTAAACTATCACTTTCAACATCCACATGAATATTGAAATCACCCACTATGATGATTTTATCAGTATTTAATAATAAGTCAGTTAATAATTCTGAGAATTCAGACAAAAACTAAGAGTAAGCGCCTGGTGGACGATATATAACAACTAGTAAAAGTGGCTTTTCTGATTTCCATTTTGGATGAGAAAGACTGAGGGACAGTGATTCAAAAGAATCATAACTAATAACTGGTTTGGCATTAATCAATAATCCTGACTGAAAAATAGAAGCTACTCCTCCACCTCGGCCAGTTGTTCTAGGAACATGAACATTTAAATAATTAACAGGAGTGGATTCATTTATACCAACAAAATCCTCCTGTTGTAGCCAAGTTTCTGTCAGACACAATAAATCAATATGATGATCAGTTATCAGTTCATTAACTAACAGGGATTTAGAGGAAAGAGATCTGATGTTCAATAATCCACATTTAATGATTTGATGATTTTGTTCTGGTAAAGTAACTATGTTTATTTGAATCAGATTTTTATGGTTTATATTTTTAGAGCTGATTTTTGGTTAATTTAATTTGAGCCGTGGGCGAGTTGACACTGTTTCAATGTGGGTGTGGGTGGTGTACAGAGGAGAAGCAGCAGAGAGGTGGAGGACTACAACTCTGCTTCCTGGACTGGACCCTGGGTTGTCAATAATTTGGGGGATAAACAAAATCAGCCATATTTCTAGAAAGAAGAGCGGCTCCGTCCAAAGTGGGATGGATGCATCTCTCCGCATCAGAGCAGGTTTTCCCCAGAAAGAACTCCAGTTATCTATGTAGCCCACGTCGTGTCAGAACACCACCTGGACACCCAGCGGTTAAACGATGACATACGGCTAAACGTCATCGCTGGTCAGGTTGGGGAGGGGGCCGGAGAAAACTACGGAGTCCCACATGGTTTTAGTGAAGTCACACACCGAAGCAACATTAATTTTAGTGACCTCTGATTGGCGTAACCGGGTGTCATTACTGCCAACGTGAATAACAATCTTACTGTATTTAGCCTTAGCCTTAGTCAGCAGTTTCAGATAAGATTCTATGTCGCCTGCTCTGGCCCCTGGAATGTATTTAACTATGGCCGCTGGAGTCCCTAAAGCCACGTTTGGGACTATGGAGCTTCCAATAACCAGGGTCTGCTTCTCAGCGGGTGTTTCACTGAGCGAGGAAAATCTATTAGAAACTTGAACGGGTCAGTGGTGAACTGGGGGCCTAGCCTTAGCACTACACTTGCTCTGGACCGTCACCCAGCCGGCCTGGGGTCCCAGCTGCTCGGGGTCTGCTGGAGGACCGCTAACGGGAGCTAGCCTCTGTGGTTCCGCGCTGTCTAAGGGGACCTGGCTAGCTACTGGTTTATCTACAGCGCAGAGCCGAGCTTCCAGTTCAGACAGCCTCTCCTCCAAAGCTACCATAAGACTACATTTGTTACATGTATCATTACCACTAAAGGAGGCAGAGGAGTAACTAAACATCTGACACACGGAGCAAGAGAGAACAGGAAGCAGGGAGAGAAGCAGCAGCCATGCTAAGCTAACGCTAGCAGGAGCTAGCAGAGCCAAATACACCAATAAAAACCGGGAAGTGTTGAAAGATAAGAGTTGTTTTAAGCACTATCCAACTGTAGAGAAACAACTGTACTGAGGCTGTTTGTGAACTAGAATGAAAAACTGTGCAAAAGACATAAATCCAGAAAACAGAGATGACTCGAGCAAACAATTCACTTGAGCTACCAACAGACAAACAGGAAGTGTCACAATACGTCTCACCACGAACGTGCACTATGTGGGCGGAGCTTCTGTAGAACCGAAACAACGTAACAAATCCTGCATTTCATGTAAACTCAACTGAGTGTAGGTTTGTGAAAGATCAAAGGTCACAATATGGATGTAAATGTTTCCACATCTGTCTGTTGTGTTTGTCTCTGTGCAGCGGTGTCATCTCCATCCTCCTTCACCCTGAAGACAAACACCATCAGCACCACCGTCCCCAACTCTTACTACCCAGGTAACCCACACACTTGAACTCATCATACCGAGACAGTGATTTGACTTCCTGTCACAGTTATCTCAGTGCTGAGCCAATCACAGTGAAGTATAAAAACAGCACATCTACACCCGGGAATTTTCTTGTACCTTAATCAGGATTATATTAAATGAAACTGATCAATGTAATCCTGTTTTCCACCAAAACCTCAAAAGCTTCTCCACCTTAATGAAGCCACACATGCTCCTTCCACACCTCTGGATTTGTTTGACCAAGTCAAAAACATCCAGAGTCTAGTCAACTAAAAGGGAATAACAGAAATGTGGTGCTACCACAACATAGTCATCAAACCATCAGCTGACATTCAGTTAACGTTCAACTCACATTCAACTGATATTCAGCTGAAATTCAGCTAGCATTTAGCTAACATTCAGCTGACATTCTTCAAATATTTAGCTGATATTCAGCTTACATTCAGCTGACGTTCTTCAAACTTTCAGCTGAAATTCAGCTAACATTCAGCTGACATTCAGATACCATTCAGCTGATATTCAGCTAACATTCAGCTGATTTTCAGCAGATATTCACCTAACATTCAGCTGAAATTCAGCAGACATTCAGCTTACATTCAGCTGACATTCTTCAAACATTCAGCTGAAATTCAGCTACCATTCAGCTTATATTCAGCTAACATTCAGCTGATATTCAGCAGATATTCACCTAACATTCAGCTGACATTCAGTTAATATTCAGCTCACATTCAGCTAACATTCAGCTGACATTCAGTTGACATTCTGCTGACATTCTACAAACATTCGGCTGACATTCATCTGTAATTCAGCTAACAATCAGCTAATATTCAGATGATATTCAGCAGGCATTTAGATAGCATTCAGCTAACATTCAGCTGACATTCAGTTAACATTCAGCTGACATTCAGCTAACATTCAGCTGACATTCCGCTAATATTCAGATGATATTCAGCAGGCATTCAGCTAACATTGATCTAACATTCAGCTAACATTCAGCTGATATTCAGCTAACA